TTAGTCACATGCAAAAGAGGGCCATCGCCTAACAATAGGCTTGATTAGCCCTATTGTTCATAGAGGGTCATGTGCCCCATCACCTGACTTATTGGTTTGGATGCTTCAGCTGTGGTTCTTTGGTTTTTTGTTATGTGTATGTAGTGAGTGCAAGCGRGGTTCAACGTCCCCTTGTTTTTGTCTCTCTTTCCCTATTTGTGTTGGGTATCGTTGGGGCCTTGATGCATTTAAAGACATTAAGTAATCCATTTTTTAAAAACTGACATGTAGTATTTATTCTAATAAAACAAGAACGCTGTCGAAAATGTCAGTATTACTTCTGAAGCAGAGAAGCTATTGCAACGATGAGTTGTTTTTCCTTTTTGAACAAATTAATTTTTGTTTTGTTCATTTTGTTCTGCGCCGTATCGAAGTGAAGATGTCTGGGATTCATTTGTTTGTGTCTGACGATGCCGACACTAAAGACCTTRTTGTGTCCATCTCCTGTAGTGTTGGTACGTCGGTGTGTGAGAGCCTCGGCTTAATCAGGGGGTCTGAGCTGAAACCTTCCTGCCTCTATTAGAGCCCATTAGCGTCATCATTAAGATAACCCGGCGCTCGCCGTGGCCCTGGTGGAGCAGCATTAATATAAGGAAGCCCCCTCTATCTCTTAGCGGTTGTGTTGAGATTTCCTTTAGTATTACTCGCCTTGCATTGTGTCTGAGAGAACCTGTTGCCATGGCAACATCACCCAGCAGCGACATCATTTCGACTGTGGATATTTGCTTCTTCGCCTCTGTTTGTGTGTCGATGCCTGTCTCTCTCTCTCTTTGCCTCGAGTCTTCCTTTTTTTTTTTTTTTTTTTACTTTTTTTTCCTTGCGGCAAAAAAGAGCGTGACAGTTTAATCCAAATCCCAGACCCTTATAATTCGGGAGGTCTATAAATGCCTGAACCCTGGAATTTATTTGAAAATCATGACACCTTCGCTGGCCCCAGTCCTCCTGTAAATGCAGAGGATGGGGGGGCCCTCAACAAATAAAAAAAATTAAAGCTTTGCCCTGCCTCTTTTATTGGCCTTTTTATGGACGCGAGGATCCTTGAAAGATTAAGCGGGCTGTTAATGGGGACTGGATATTCCATTAGTGTGCAGCTTGTCGAGTTCTCACTGGCCTGACAGCGGCTTCCAGCTCTTCTCTTTTTTTTTTTTTTTTTTTGTTACCGTCAAGAATGCCTACAGCGCTTTTTAAATCGAAACACTAGTAAGCCTTTTGACTGAAGTACCGTTGCATTGTGGCTGCAGATTAGAACGACCGTTTTCTTTCTCTCTCTGCTTCACATCTGAACACCTTCTTTCTCCGGTAGTTTTCTGCACTGAACGTGCTTGGCGTTGTATTTCCACCAGTAGCAGCTTAGATTCGCTAAAGGCCTATTTTTGCTATTAGCACAATCATTTCCTCAAACTTGATTTCCATTTGACCCATTTTGCATTTGATTCACTTCCCAGAAAAGCAGAAATATCACCAGATCTCTTGTGTTTTTTTAATAACATCCATAAAGGCTTTGATATTTTGTTCATGAAAGATGTCAAGATGCTGCATTTACTGCCACTTTGATTTTCTTGCTACAAAAGTGCATAATTACAGTGATTAAACTGCAAACGTGAAAGTATGAAAAGTCATTCAGAGGAATGATGATAATAAAAGCTTATTCTGTGTTGAAAAGACCCCTGATTTATAGTACAGACGACGTGGGCCAAGCTCGGAATGCTTTTGCTGTGGTTTCCCATATCCCCTAAAAGAACAGGAAGCCAGGCTGGAACAACCCAGTGACAGAGAGGCCACGATCTCACTTCACAGCACAATTGAAACATAATTATTTCATGCCAGATTGTGTGCTCAGCAAAGCCCTGAATGGGCACTGACATTTAACTTTAATTAGCTGTGATTTATTCATACTGACTAGATCGCAGGAAGAAATTGGATCATCTGATTATAGTCAAGCATGAAAATGCCCTGATTAAACACTTAATGGAACCTAGGGAGAGAAAACAAGAGAAACCTTGCACAGGGAACACTTAGACAACATTATAAAGGAGGAAAGGGAGCGGCTTTTTACTTCATCAAGGGTGATCATTGATTAAGAATACTTTTTTTAAACACAGCAGCTAACGGTTATCCTCTTCCAACAAACACTGCTGCTTTGGAATATAATTAAGAAGTGGCTCAAAATCTAAAACTGTTTTTTTTAGTCTAGTTCAATTTTAATCCTACAATTTGTTTTAAATTTCTTCTCAGGTGTGCCGACGAATGAGAGTCCCGAGTCCAGGACCTGTAGCTCAGCCAAAGTCTCAGGACTCCAGCGCAGCCAGGAGCAGAGCAACACCGAGGTGCCCTTTGCACCTCCCGTGCCCAGCCCCACCCCGGCTTCGGCGCCCACGGGCTCCCCTGCGCCAGCGGCGGCAGCGGCACCCCCAGAACCCCGTGGGTCCCGCCTTCCCACGCCTCCTCTCGGTGTCAAGAAAGAACAGCCACCTCCACCCCCACCAGTCCCGACCCCGCCCCTGCTGAAGGCGCCGCCCCACCTCCAGCTTCACCCTCCCCATCCGCACGCACTCCAGGATCCCCGCGTCCTTCCTCCCCCGCCGCACCACGCGCGGCCCGTCATCAGCCACCAGGTGCATCACCCGCTGCAGTACGGCCTCCACGACCTCAGGTGACGTCCGGCTTCCGCCTCATCGGTTTCTGCGCCGCAAACCTTTCAAACACACCAATAAAATCAAAGAACTGAGAGTGAAAATGTGCCAAACACACACACACACACACACACACAGTGTTGGCAGCAGGTCGAGCAACGGTTCATCTTCTGGCAGCTGAGGTGTGTGAGAGTCCACGTCTGTGCCAAAAACTAACAGAAAGAAATCGACACTTCCAGGAAGATTCCTTCACTYTCAGATTTACCTTTTCAAGTGTTTTAACGTCGCAGACACAAACATCTAGTGTTGTCAGTGATGAACTACATGCAGGAATTTCCAAATTACTCACTCACTCACTCATTCCTTTTGGACATGCCTAATCCTGATCAGGGATTAAAGGGGAGGTTGTGGGACTGGAACGTACCCCAGCAGATATAGGGGTACATTCAGGACAAGTCACCAGGACCAACTCAAAGAGACACCTAAAAACATTATTACACCACAGTCGACTCATTTCCAAATGAAAATATACTTCAGTAGCTAATTATTGATTTTCAYCCCACCAGGTGACAATCAGGAGTCTAATTTATTGTTATTCAGTAAGCAGGGCTGCAAACTTCCTCATCTTTTTCTTGATCCAGTATAAAAATTGTTCTTTAGTTGATAAAAGTGTAAAACTTATGATAGGCGTAACTGAACAGCTGCCAGAAAGACTGTCCATGTTTAATATAATAAAACTCAGAACCTGTGGATGTATTTATTTGTCATTGTTGTATTTTTTTAWTAGAATATTCTGTCTTCTTATTTTGAAACCTACAGCCACAGAAGCAGTCCAGTGGGTCTCACCAGGCAACACCTGCCTACGTCCCCTCACCACCACCTGAGTGGGCTCCCATCTTCAGCTCCCAGTTTGCCTTTGTCCATAGCCAATCTATCTACCTCGCACTATTCCTCCTTACGGAGCCCCGCTCATCGCCATTCGGCCATGTTTGCAACCCCAGCCACACTGCCGCCACCACCGACCTTACCGACCAACAGCTTAGTGGTGCCTGGACACCCTGCCGGCACCCCCTACCCAGGTAAAGCTGCACACCTAGCTTCTCTGCAGATAAAAGCTTTTGGTTCAATTTAATAATTTTACAGTATGGTTAGTTCTTTCGTTTTTTTCCTTTTCAAAATAAAATGAATAATCTAGTGTTATTTTAGGGGTTTTTCTTTTAAAACTAAATTWAAAAATGACAATTGCGAAATTAAAAAGGCTCCTTTTTATGGTTATAGCAAAGACAACCTTTATATTTTGTTAGTGCACTATTTGTTACTTTCTGGCAGAACTGGAAATCCTCATGGCTTGAACTCCTTGTGCATTATGTTTTTACTTAGTACTTTAGAAACAGCCTTTTTACAGCTTACACATCCTGAAAGCTGTTTTACTGTGAAAAGAATTGGTTTAATATTCCAAGTTATGCAGAATTGAATTTGAGTGAAGCCATCRCTAATACCTTTAGGACCAGTTTTTGTTCTTTAGCGGTCTTCCAKCCTCTGTAAACACCTGTTCATTGGCGATTTCCATCATTTACAGTATTGCTACATATTAAAACAAAAAAAAACAGATATTTTATTTTGGATTTAAATAGCTAAATC